CATAATAATAATATTGCGGGGATATTACTCGAGTATGCGGCGAATGTATTTTTTGTTTACGATACCGACCGGTTAAGCAACATTTCCTCCTTTTGCGAAACTAACAGCGCTTGCCATCCGTGAATTAATCATGAGCTTGAAAATCATTCGTCGCGCACGGCTTATGCATCCGGCGCGGAGTGCCGACCGGGCGAATATTTACCAGGGAGCACGATCGGGCCGCACTGAATCGCGTACTGTTTGCGGCAAATTCCACGAGAGATTCCATTGTAATTGAACGAGGCTGACTCGATTATAAAGTCAAATCATCGGCAGGTGGAGAGACGGCAGGGAACTCTCTTTCTTCCGCGAGCGAATGCATTTCCTTTCCTCCGCCGCGCCGTCGACTTTTGTACTTCAACCCTTTTCTTCTCTCTTTTTCGCTCGTCGCTCTCAAATGCCTCTGCTGAGTCGAGGTACAGACAATGACGGCGTCTTGGGGACGTCCTCCTGCACCATCCCGCGGAACGTTTCAAAAGAGACTACTTTGAGAAATTTAGGAAGTCCCCGAGCTCGTGCAAATTACCGGTGCTGTTAAAGAGTGGAAAACTTGACAGGAATCTCGAAAAATGGAATTGCCTTTAAGGTCCTTAGAATAGTAAACGTTGTCGACTTTAATTTAACGCCAGACCTGTAATAATACGTCGAGAGTTGACGCAATAACGGAGTACTTCATAATATAACTCGACTTACTTCAATAATAAAAAAAAGATAGTTAAAACTTTTGTTGTCCACGCTTATTCTAAGATCAATCTATTTCGCAAATGTTTCATAATATTTTATAATACGCGGAATATTACGTGATAATTTTGAAGATAATAACACTATATTTAAGCAATTTAATTGATTAATATATATTTTTTAATATATATTTGCGATTAAACGAACACATACATTGAAAAAATATACTAAATTTTGATAAATATTTGTTTAAATAGTACCAACTAAATATTTATTAAATGCAAACATATATTAATTTTTTTATTACAAGGATCATTTATATTTTATTCCACTATCCTTTTTTATTGAGTAATTATTCATTTATTGTAATTAAATGTGTTTAGTTAAAAACACACACACACACACACACACACTATTGAAAAAATATTATTATAAGATTTAGTAAATTTCTTTTCAGTATAATAAATGATAAATAATATTCGATATAAAATAGCTAGATCTGGTTTGGAAATAACATGGTTAGACGCGAAAATTGCAGCTTCGTTGCAATATCGATTTCTTTTCCCGTTCGATTCTGACGATGAAATGTCATACACGAAGATAAAGCGATATAGTACAAGGCTAGAGACTCGTGCAGTTATATTACACGCCTATTCCTAGGGCGTCTCCTCTGGGAACGGCGCCACATCGAGGGGCGAAAGTTAGTGCCGCCTGGGGGATCGGTACGACCGATAATTGAGGCTTGAATTAAATTAGTCTTCGGTGTTCCATTCCAGAACGACTGAAAGTCTCGCGCGTTGCTCGCGCGATAACCGAATTGACCCACGTTCGGCCGATCTAATCGCGATTATCGATCATCGCTCTTACGCTGAGGTTTCATTAGGATCGATATCGCTCCGCAGTTAAATCGGTTAGGCAAGATGCATAATGGATTAAGCAAACGCACGTGAGTTTGATAGCGATCGAACTCTCTTCCCTTTGACTCGCGTCGCTCCTCGCAAGCGCCACTCTTACGGTTTCGCGATGATAATTCTTACGAAAGAATAAAATGAATGTTCGTCCGCGAGCGCGATAGTTGGAACATGAAAGAGAAAAAAAAGCGACGTAAATTGCGGTATCATAATGAAGCGGAGACCCGCGCGCGGCGCATCGATTTGCGAAAAATAAACCGGAACAAGGAACTTTATCTCGTATTTCTCCGCGACTTGGAAAGTTCTGAATATCAAAGTTGTAATTTATCGTAAGTACTTAGATTCCCCGGCGGGGCCACCGTATCTATTATCGTCGCCAATTTTTCGTCTCGAGAAAACGCGTTATCAATGTACACCATCGCAGAATGCGATATGACGCAACTGCCAAAAGACACCTAGCCGTATATTTCTCGTTTGAATTGTTGCCATCCATTTACATTAAATAAATCATATTACGTAATAACGTACGGAGTTGTAATGTACGGCGACACGGAAATGCATTCGCGTCGAGTAAATGGATTTACTTAAAAGTTTAATAATACAAGCAATAATTTACGTGCGCTTTAGGAGAAGTTAAAACGGAAATTCATTAAAACATTATGATGAAATCCTATGAGATGAATAAAACACAATGATTTCTCTTCTTGCTCGTAAGACTACATTTTAACTGGATATGTTAATGAAATATGATAAAGGAGCACAGCGAATCTTGGAATAAAGTCCATATTTTCACATTTGTAGTCTAGTTGAAGAAAGAAAACAAGCTAAAGAAATTGATTTGGCGAATTCAACCATATTCGTTTTCTAATTAATTTGTTTTCTGTCAGCTCTGAATCCATAACGAATTCTGCGAATGGAAAGAAAATTCCCGTCCAAGAGAGGTAGATTCGAACGGACGGTACCAATCACCCCGCCATCGGGAACGATGTAGTCACGATTAAAAATTTAAATCAGCCATTCGCGCTGATATTGTTAGAGAGCGAGCGAAAGTTTGCAGTCCAGCGGCGCCGCCGTTAACCCTAAGTGGAAACATGGAGCCGGGAAAAGTGGCGAAAAGGTTGGGGGAGAGCTCAGAAATACGAGGGATTGAAACCAAAAGGAGGAGGGTTGATCAGTAAGATGTCCTGCGGGGAGATAAGTTTCTCAGTGCAATCAGTGCCTCACTGTCTCCTTCACCCTTTTACAACTCTTCCACTCAGTTGTCCTCGCTCCTCTTGTATTGGCCACCTCGTTGGTGTACCACTGTCGTGGCATTTACTCATTTTCACATTTTCGAGACTTAAGATAATGTAGCTGCTCGCGGCATTCGGCTTACTCGGCTGTGATGTTTTTGAAGGCGTTCTTATGCATTCGCGGACAAAGACTTTGCGTCGATCGAGATTTAGGGGAAGGCCATTTGTGAAACCGATATAATTGTGACAAATTAGACTTTTTTTTATTGCAGAAAATTTGCCTTATATGAATTGCAATTGGCAGTTATTGAAAATTTCTTTCGTGTGTTTACTCATTTTCTATCTTAAGTAATTACAATACTAATATTTCTGTGTCTCTAACAAAAGATTCAAACGGATTGAAATGAAGGTTCACAGAATTTGCCAATTATGGTAATATCCATTTAATAATGGATGAATGCGAGTTAATCTGAGGTTTAAGGACAAACCTAGATTTGATTGTGGTCACGATTTTGACAATATAGTGGAATCCATTTATTTAATACCGATCGCGAAACGTTCCGCCGATCGTATGGTAGGATTAATTAATAAAGTGATTGATTCGGTTAAACGCATTAATCGTACTGTGCGCCGCAGATTCGCGCGCGACTGGACCGGCGAATTCCATAAATTTAGGAACTACCAATCGATCGAATCGTGTCCGTTCATCAGTGTGTCACATCCGACCGAGCAAATTCACCGCAAAACCGGACAGCGGTATCGAATGGATCAACGATTTTTAAAAAATGATGAATGGCAAGTCCCCATTGGTGTTAGTGCGATTCATTCGCATTGATAGGCTTATTGTAATTACGGGCACGGACAATAGACTATTTTTACGAATAATGGCTTTATCGCGAAAGATATTCTTGAGTTTTGCGATAATGAGATTCCGATCTTAACTCCTCGCCAGTAATGTTAGACTTTTAAGGTATAATTAATTTTTTGATTGTGAATTTTAATAGATAAATTGAGATCTGTAAAAAATAAGTAAAAACAAGTAAAATAAGTAACGACACTTTTTTATTTTTATAAGGAACTGTAGAACTATGAAAATAAAAAGAGAGTGATACTGGAACTGTTATTATTTCTTTCATATTAATAGAATGTCGTACTAACTTCACGGATACTCAAAAGTGGATTATGTGAAGTTAGCACGATATTTTATTAATACAAAAAAAAATGACAGTTCCAGTAGCGCTTTTCATAGTTCAACATTTACTTATCAACATTTACGTGTAAAAATAAAAGTGTTCCACATTTGTTATATTAAAAAAATCAAAATTAAAAAAGTAACAATTGAAATTCTGTTTAAAAATGATTGTAGAGCATAGAATTCTGCTAGAAATAACGAGAAATGTGTCGCTGCAATTGCGATAAATTAACGGCACAATACTTTTTTCCAAGTGCCGTGATATTTTGTACATATAAAGTCTATTAAAATTGGTAATTGTTGGAATTTTATATTTTCAAATTACATATATTAATAACAACTCGAGCAATACTAATGGGAATTCATTGTGAAAGTTTTAGAGAATATAAATAGAGAAGCAATTTTTGAGGAAATTAAAGAGCGCGAATTATCACGAATTGCTCACTTCTGATGCTGTTATAACTTTACGCTTACTCAAAATGGTAGTTAAAGTAATAATATAAGTAATTGTGTATATATACCGAGACTTTTTAGTGCATAAACTGCAGTTATCAGAAAATAAAATACTAAATCTTGCGGGCGTTCCATTACATCGTATTTTCGCTTGCTTGCTTACAGACCGGAGAGCCTTTCAACGTCCAAAGCCGTCCGTTCTCTACGTTGGCGGCGGCGCGGAGGCCGGTCTCCCAACTTTCTTATTCAAGATGTTTTGAGAGCAATTTAACTTGGACTTCGGTCGAAGAATACCGGTCTTGGAGCCGTTTGTGAGAAGGGAATTAAGAGCGAAATAAAACGCGTGGAAGGAAAGTGACTGCCGAGCCATAATGAGGGAATACGTAGGAGTGGTTTGCGGGAGGTTGCATCGTTCATCGCGGACAAGTTAAAGAGATCTCCCGGAAACCGTCGAAGTGCCGCCGCTGTCGAGATTCACGAGGTAGACCCAGCTGGCCTGACCGGTTCGGCTGTCCATCGACGACCAAGGTCGCCGTACGGTTATGCTGGTGGCATCGCTGCAGGTGGCCGCCAGCAAATGCTGTCATGCCGCTGCCATGCCAGCCGGCGGCCCGGAGCCGGCCGCTGGTCACGACGTGGTGCCTGATCAGGCCGATCCGTTCCTCTCTGCGCGTAGGACTCGCACTGCTGCCCCTGATCGTCCTGCTAATCTTGGCCGGCCGCAGTCGTGCGGCTTCCTCGCAGGCCGCGACCCGCTACGCCTCGCGCATCGTCGAGACGAAGAGCGGACAAATACGTGGGATACTTCAGGTATGTATCGATTCTTCTTGCTAGGACCGGGACCGGGAGGGGATGTGTAGAAGAAGGTGGAGGAAGCGGAGGAGGAGAAATGACAGGGTGTGGGGTATCGAACGACGTACCACGTCCCCAGCAGGATTTGGATATCCTACAGGCAGGTGGAACGAACCCAGTGAAGCCTGCTCGGACATCGAGTTCGATTCGATGTAAATGGCGGATTGTGATTCGCGGATCGGCTAGTTCCCGGCAGTATTACGTCGCTGTTTCCGCGATGTACACAACGAAAAGCGAGATTTATTGCTGGATTGACCCTGCGGAAGCGGGATTTTTCTGTCCATCGTCGTTTGAACGGGATAGCTCGCTCGAGAGTACCAATTATTCGTGACAACGCGTTTCATTTTTTTATAATTCTAATATCAGAGTTTTTTAAAGAGATGAAAGTACGTTTTGTAAAAAATAACATTTCCTTGCGCTAAATTGCTCGACGTAAAATAGAAGCTACTATCTATAAAATGAAACGGTATTCACCGGTAATCGATTGCAGAATCTCTCGCGCAGGTCTATTCTTCCTGTTTATACAGGTAACGGCCGGTGGTTATGATAGTGGATATGCGATGACATGAATATTTGGATATTATGTGTACAGGATGAGATAATATCTTGGACATGAATTAATCTCCTGCTGTAGTTCACGTGCGAAATGTGAATCAATTTTGGTCAAGAGCTGTATAAACTATTCCAGTTAAATGTCTTGTTAACTAATATCGAAATAATAATTATGGCTACAATAGCGCGCCCGAGTGTTCTATATTGAGTTCTACGTTACGTAATTAATATCTATTTTCATTTTAACAATACGCTATCTATTCTCACTGATGTTATAACGTGATGTATAATGGTAACGTTAATAATACCTGAATAATGCTTTTAGCATGCGACATTACGGAGAGTTTAACGTGTACGAACGATGTTTCCGCGAGATTTTTAATCTTCGCGCGTCGAGCGCGTTCGGCAAAAACGAAGATAAGAACTATATCTAATGTTCTCTCATTAACATCCCGAGAAACGTTGGGTCCCCGGCGCATTAATCTTGCGATTTCAATTACTTCCACACTACTGTCTCCCTACATCTCTTAAATTTGACCGCATCGCCGCGTATCCTCCTTTTCTTCGCGCTTTACTTTCTCCCGTTTTTCTACTTCTTTTTCTCATCACTTGTTCCGTCCAATCTAACTCGTCCTCAGTGCCCAACACCTCTTCCCTTTTTTCTCTCTTCTCGTTGCCCACCAACGTACTCTTTCATTAAATGCGTTACTGTCCTCCTATCACTCTCACAAACTTTGCAGACCTTCTCCCGGCTTTCCTTTCCTGGCGTCAGTTTCTTCTCTCTTACCATCCCTTCAACTTATTACCGCACCTAAATCCTGCTGTCGACCCGACATTAAAACTTCCTTTTGCCTGCTAAGTATCTTTACCAACCGATAGCTCTTATATCCTTCTCACGGCTTTTTTTATCGCTCCAATTAACTAAAAATACGCGTGTCGCGCTCATTAACTTTTTCATCGTATCTTCGCAGTTAAACACATATATGTACATTTAAAATATACATCGTGTAACATGATTCAATTAATATAAATTAATAATAAAAATGTTGAGAAGGGCTAAGAAAACAATATTTAAATAAAAGATATAACATAATTAATAAGAACTAAACAAAAAATAATACAAACGGCGTGTATATATATATATATATATATACATTTTCTCTCGCGATCAGTCAAGCACACGTTTCCTCAAAGGAATCAGCAAGACGTAATTGCTCTCGTCAAACCGTACACAGCAAAGGAATTCGTAATGAATACAAGCTTTTATCACGCGACTCGAAATTCCGCAAGTGGAATTAAAATAATTAAATACGAAATGCGTACAGTAGAAAAATCTCTGTCTTTTATCCTCCGTCCTATTTCCAATACATTTCGCATAGCTGTGCGCCGCTGCCGGAAGGGAAACTAAAAGCGGTTCGATATCTCGATGTCCCACACGACAGCGAAATTTTTCCAACAGACAATTTGCTGGCAGCTCGTCTATCGGGGCCGAAGCGTTTTCACAACACCGATCAGTCAGAGTGGGCGAGGCCGATTTGACATTTACCGCGGCATTCGCTACGCCGGATGGTAGACATCAATTACGTCTAATAGATATTCATATCGACAAGAGGCGGATCGATGGACGTCCGATGATTCAACCTCGTGCCGTCCGGCGCCGCTCGTTCACAATACGATCCGGCAAATTTCGCGTTTCGCGTTAAAGTATCCGCAGGCGGGATATCGCCAACCACATCCCCGCCGCCTCCATCGCCGGTGGCTTCACATTCGGCGAAAATAAATTCGCGGCCGCAGACCGTGGGGAATTGCGGGGAAATCGGCCAATTTGACGCTCCGGTATCAATCCGCGCGGCGCATCACCGATTCCGATAATAACGCATCCGGTCCGCGACGTGAAGGTAGAGCTTTCATCCCCGCGTGTTATTTAACTTTCTGACGTTTGATTATTGCGCTCGTTAAATTACGAATCGCTCTCCCTCAAAATTGCCGCGCCCCGTTGAAAAAGGATCACAAGCAACGTTAAATCCAGTTGCCCCGCGCAATCCCGGAATTTCATCTCTGCGCTCTTATCAAGTCTGTGTAAGACGCGCGTATACAAATTATACAGGATATTGCAGCGTCGTTGGAACTTCGATACTTCGGGGAACAATGTTGGCTTATTAACTGCTACGAGCAAAGGGCGAAATAATTGAAGCGTACGCAGCGTTCGAGTAAAGCGAGCTCGCGAGATTCGTAGAAGGATCCACTTTAAATACGTAGTTACGTCTAAAAGCGGATCTTACGCGTGGGTATTACATGAACCACCACTGCCGATTCATCCCCTTCAGCGCCTCATTTTGCTTGTATATCCCGGCAAGTCTCCGCCGGGATCCTCGTTGTAAAAGAGAACGTGGAATACGGATTATTTGTACGCGCGCGTATTCGTAATGCCACCGCCGTCTCACGCGATTGAAACATCCGCGCGGATCAGACGGGGGACACCCCGTCGCTTTGGCGGGAATTGTGGATCCGCAATTTACCGGCCTTTTTTCGCCCGGCAGTCCCCGGGCGGATGGATGGATAACGAGAAAACTTTTTCGCTCAGGACGCCTCGTGGCCTTTACATTACGTCGTAACGTGCCGCACAACTCACGGTTGTCGTTTTTTGTTCGCTCCGCTCGCGCCCGCGTTCACGCTCGCTCGCGTTCGCCGTTCACCGGTCCATTTCGCACGATCGAGCGCCATACGTTTTGCCGGAGGAAAACATTGCTCTGTCAAACGCGCACCGACTACAGCGACCACGTCCCTTGCTCCTCCGCTGTGATATATAAGCAGAATTATTTTGCATATTGCCGCCCTCAGGCACGTACAACCGTTGAATCTTGAGCGATGCGAATCTTGAACGATCGATTATCGTTATGCGTTTGCGAGACTACGTCGTGTTCGAGATACAGTTTATCGTACATGGGATGTAGATATTGATGGGGATATATCGACGTTTGCAATATTTGTTAATAGTACAAAATTACCTTTTAAACAAAAAATGTTGAAAAAGGCACTAAGAGTACGCGTTCGTCGGAAAAAAACCTATTGTACCAAATTAAAAAGTAAAACCCAAATGGTACTGTCTTTATTAATTTATGTATGATAAAATCTAAATGATACATATCTTTGTATATTCTCATTGAAGATTTTCCTATTCCAACCCTCAAGTGATAGTAACTTTAATTCTCCTTCAAAATCATATCACAAAATTGCGTTTCCTTATATTCAACTCAAGTGTATGTATTATTTGTATAAATGATTTGATATCAGTAATTGGCGTCAAAATCTCTCATTGATAAGGATATATCGACGTTTGGAGTATATATTAATTCTCCTTATGAAGCATATCACGCTGAATATTGAATTTTGTACGTATACTGAGTTCATAGTAGAATCTGGGTCAATTTAATTCGGACATTGTCCTTATCGAAGCTACGCCGATCTTCCTTCGGCAATCGCGTATAAGCCATCCGGCTGAGCATAATCCGAGTGTTAAACACGTCCAAATTCACCGACAGAAAGCGGAAATATAATTTCCCACTTTATTTATAAGCAAATTTCAGAGATAAAAATGGCGTTAATCGTATCTGCATTTTGTCCACAGAAGAGAGAGACGCGCGCGCGAAAAAAATTGTTTATAGGTGCGCGTTTTTTAATACAATTATCGCGCCCGGTTTACAAGCTATCCCGTATTCCGAAACTGAGTCGCATACGTTTGAAGCGCTTTACAAATTTTCCCTCACGACGCATAATAATTCCCCGCGAAACTACATCTGCGCGCTGGTATCCCATCGCGGAATTTTTTTTCACATTGCGCCCGTCGTCCGTACGCGTCCGTCGACGGCCCGATTGGCATTGCAAATGCATTAATGTATGCTCTTACTGCGTTCGTCAATTTGCCTTTGTACTCGGAAATTTTTCTTCATCATTTCTCTCGCCGGAATTTCAATCTTGGAAATATTTTCCCGGCCGAGAAGTGCCGATCCATATATATTTTTTTATTGTCACGCTGTCCTTTATAAATATCCGAGAAAAAAAGTTGCTCTCTTTTTTTTTCAGCCTTCTCTTATAATAAATCTCTCCTTTCTAATCGGCAATCCGCTTGACTAAATGCAACTTGACCGTCGTTTGCGGCCGCGTCTTTATTCGTCTTTACATTTCCGGACGCGACCAATCTTCTTGTCTATTTCCAGCTGCATTCACGGGGAGATTTGTTGCGAAACAGCCGTTTCGCGACTTTGAAGCTTAATAAATTTCTTTTACATTTATGTGCTCTATAACTCATTGAAACGCACCGCCACCAGCAAAAGCTTCCATACGACCGTTATTGGACCGTGTGTGCAGGCTGACGTAAATCCTCCGTATCTTCGCCATTTTTCCGCTCGACTTCCTTTGTCGCGCACATAATTTATTATACCTCTAAATTTACGTAATTTATCGTCCCGTTTAAATCATCTTTCTAGAATTTTTACAACAACAAACTGCATAATTGTTGCCGCATCTACAGTCCGGTATTCAGCTCGATAAGGATTGTATAATTATTTTTCCAACGCAACTCGCAACTCCATTCAGCCTCTGCTCGACTCGGTTGAAACCGCTAAAGCATCGGGTACGTCCCAATTGAGAAAATACATCGCATTTTTTTTTTATAAATGGAGACCACATTTTACCGCGATATTATCTTAACCATATAAAATTCGAAGCATAATTTCCGCCACTAATTAATGCGAAACTCCTATCCGTTATCACAATTAAACGTATACGTGCAAATATGCAGAAACACGGTATTAATTCGCTTCGCTTTAGCGATGTTACGCCTGTCCTTCGCTCACTGTTGCATCCGTAATTTATGACGTAACCAAATTTATTTCGCTTGTTATCATTTCCATGCGCGGGACCTAATGAATATCGCGCACGAGAGAAATGTAAACAATCTCTTTAGGGTAACAATTGTCGCGGAACGAATAAATGTATGCAAATTGTCAAGCGCGAGTACTACAATTGTAGGCCAAATATACATACAATCGAAAAGATAAATCTGCAAAGCCTCGCGAAATTATGCTATCTTCAGATAAACAGGCGTTTCCCGTTGCGTTCGCGTATTCCGTTGCACGTCCATTTAGTATCGACTTACCTCGACGTACTCCATACGCATTACATCGAATATCGTATACATCTGATAAATTTTTTCACTAGGGCTATTTCGTTTGGGATGCATCGCAGATGGGATCGACAGCGCTTCACTGTCTGGTAACATCCTCCGCTTGTCTCCTATGTGTTTCCGTCTACACATGCGCCGGTAAATGTGGGCCATCAATTTCACTTTGTATCCAGAAGAGAGGTTTCAGGATAGCTTCTCGTCTCGTTATTCCGACACTCGCTTTTCTTCGTCCCATTGAAGGAGGCAAAAAAAGAAAATGGACGATTTTACCTTTGCCCTCCAAACTCTTCGCTTGTCCTGGAGATATCCACAAACTCCTGGCTCATTGTTCTTGTTAAACTCTTAAAAGGGAGGAAGGTATTTTAGAGAGAACACGAGGGATAATGACATCAGTTGTCGTCTCGTTGAAATCAAGAACCAGGTTTGCCACAAAACTGAAAACCAGGAAAATGTCAGAGAAACTGAAAATGGTAAGAAAAATCAAGGAAAAGTCAGAAAATTTTGAAAAATTTTCTGAAAAATTTAAATTTCTTGGTTTTAGAAATTTAATATGTATATGTCATACTTATTCAATTTTGGAATACTATCAACTTAACAATTAACAGGAAACGGTATCAGCAACATTAATAGTGATTTACATTGCTATATTAAATTGTTCTCTCAATGGAATTTTAGAATAAAAAATTTGTGACAATTCTAAGAACATACATACTGTATAATATATTTTAATTTTAATGGCGAATTTTTCGAGTAGTTCGAAGCGAATTTTTGCGAAAAAAGGAAAGACGTCAAAAAAACGTCGAAATGCTAATGTCTCCTAAAGTCTATTACTTCTGGCGAATCTATAGTTTCCGGTCGTCGAGTAAATCCCCAACTTTGCAGTTTGGTATGAAAAAAAGACGTTTTTTCACATTCCGCAAATAATGAGAATTACGATCACGTCTGCGGGCGACTGATTTCGAAATAAAATTCGTTCTATTCGCCGAGAGATTATAATAATTCACCGGGCACCGTTACGCAGTCCGCCCACGAACCGTTCCGCATTTCTGCCACCCTCCCTCCCTTCTGCTTCCCGCATTTCGCCCGAAAGGAGCAGACAGAGGCAATAATCCGGCCATAAGTTTCATCCCATCGTGCAGATAAGATTATTGCGCGACTATTACTCGAACTGAAAAGCGCTCGATTGAAACGGGCGGGAATCTAACAATAGGCAGTAGAAGCATGGTGTGCATCGATCTTGGTCTCTTATATATAATTGTCGGAACAAATTAATGATTAATCTTTTATCACGGCGAGTATTAAGCGAAAATTTTTAATACACGCAGTAACGAGATGGAATTTTTGTTTACTGAAGTTTACAACAACAAAGTTTCACAATAAACGTTAATTGTCTAATTTTCTAAAATGTTAGGATAGCTTTTGTGCAGTTGTGTGACATTCATTATCCCAAATTGGCGCAATTAATGGACGCTAATGTCATTGAAATAACAAACTGCAACTTGTTTCAAAGGTCAGCGTGTGTAATTATTTTCGGGAATGGAATATCGTAAAATGCAAAGGCTCGAAATCGATGCGTGTTTAAATCGGACTCCAATTTAATATTTAAATTTTATTAAATTCGACACACGCCGTGTCAAACTGCATCAATCACGACACGCGGGTGATCGTATTGCATCAAAGCGTGGCCGCGCAAATTTCGGCGAGGTGATTTAATGGTGATTCGTTGACGGAGTAAACGTACCTCCGCTTGAATCGGGGATTAATATCTCGGATTTGCTCGCCTCGACCTATTTATCTCATGTCCGGACTTTTAATTCACAAGCAGCTGCACTGGTGCATTCGTGCGTCATCAGATGTATACGTAATATGGATATGTATAGAGAGAGGACCGCAACTGACGCATATATATAGTAGCGTGCAAAAATTTCCGGCCAATGACATTTTATATTCTAATTTATAAAAAAAAACCTGATAAAATTTTAATCATTATTGGGGGGGGTGTTAGTAATAAGATGTGAGTAACGAAATCTTGTACTAACACCTGACAATGATTACAATTTTATCAAGCTTTTTTTTTTATAAATTGAAGTACAAAATGTCACTGGCCGGAAACTTTTGCACGCAACTGTATATACTCAGTCACGTCGAAAATGCCAAAGTGTAGGAGAGATTTTAGTAAATTTCGCTCTTCTCTCTCTCTCTCTCTCTCTCTCTCTCTCTGTTAAAATCTCTCACCCACCACGGAACTGATTTCATAAAGAACGACGTACGATGAAAGCAGTAGGGTCGAAGAGAAACTGCTTGTACTTGTAACGCCGTTCTCGCACGCGAATCCTTTCACGAACAGCGTCCCTTTCGTCGAACACACGCGCTCGTGTGTTTCCATTTTCTTGCGATTTCGCACTAAGCCCCCTCCCTCGCACCGTCCCTCCCATAATGGGAATTTATTTCCAACTACGTGATAGCTCGCCCGGGGAATACGAAAATGAATGCCGTGATCGTAAAATAACAAGCTGCGCCATGAACCGGGACGAACGTGCACGTACATACGAAATTTCAAAACTTTCTCTCTTTCTCTCTCCCTCCCTCTCTCGCTTATTCGAATTTATTTGTTATTTTTTAAATTTTGTTTTTCTAGTCGTATAACGTGTCGATATATCTTCTTCTTTTTTAATATTTTAACTGCCGGATGAGAGTCAATTACGAGATCGTCAGCCAGAATAAAATTCGCAAACTCATGAAGCGAAATTAATATTTCATCCTATGTCATTGCCATCATCGCCCGGGATTTTATGGGAGCCTCGATAAGCGCCGATTGTTATCGGCAGTCGTATGACGCACATTTAATTTTTAATGCAATTGGAAATGTCGAATCGAATAACTCTCATTTTTGCCTCTCTCTTTCTTTTGTCTTCCGGTCTCTTTTCATCTTTTTCTTTTTTTTTTCTCTAGTTTCTCTCTCGTACTTTTTACATCACATTTTTTTCATCGATCCTGCGACGAAAACGCCACGCCGATACGTTAAGGGAACTTTGTAATTTCCAGCGCGAATCGTAGAACGACCATTTCGACGGGCAGACCTTTCCCAATTGCGCTCGGTGATGCAATTAAAGTCGAGCCGCGGCAAACGAGATCTATCGGTTCTTCCAATATAATTGTTTCCATGATGCGACCGAACAGTAATTTTTCCCACTCGGTTACGTCATGAGAAATAGAACTTTATAAGATCCATTCATTTCCGCGAGTATTTTTAAAATAAATATCGCGTTTAAAAAAGAAGCAATTATTATTATTCAATCTTATAATTTAATTAATATTTATCGTCTGATAACCAAAGACTTTCTTTTATAATTCGAGTCACATCTCGTTTATTTTTCTTTTTTTTTTTCAGTTTCATGCATTGCGACGTTTTCATCAAAAGTGAGAATCAAGGCTTGCCTTTTCGCGCAGTGTTTTTAATCATCAGTTCGTTTAAGGGAGGCTGGATCATATCTTCTTCTCACGCGAGCCGGGTATCTTTCGAATCACTCGCGCTTCCGACGCGCGTAGGGGATGAAATGGATATTGGGTGCAAGAGTGGAAGGGTGGAAAGAGAGAGAAAGAAAGAGAGAGAGAGAGGGGGGGGAGAGGGAGGAGCTTTTCTAGCTTTCCGGCTGTCTGTTTCCGTTTTTCTCTCCCGGAGAGATCCATGTGCCCCGAACAGAGAGAGCGATGTATCTCTGCGGAGAAGCATCCGAGCGTATTTTAGAAGCTACTTGCGCGAACGGACGGTCGAAGAACAAGAGAAAGAAGAGTTCATGTTTATCAATTTCAGAGATATTCCAGAAGACGCCGAATAGAATCGATAAAACCGCGACCCTGATAAAACCCGGGGATAAAACTGATACATACAGACATTGTTGTATCTCGACAAAACTCGGAGATAGATATCGGTCACAGTTTTAGAATAGGTAGCGATGAAATCGATAGAAAGTTCGCTGCGCGGATATTAAATCTATTCGTATCATTCTTGTTGCAGGAATTGAACAGCCGGCACTTAGATCCTGTGGAAGTGTTTCGCGGGATACCTTACGCTGCACCTCCCATAGGAGATTTAAGGTTTCGCCCTCCGATCTCGCCAATACCTTGGAACGGTGTCAAGCTGGCGGATACATTCGGCGCGGTGTGCCCGCAGAATTATCCGGACCTCACCAATAACACTGCCGCGCTCTTACAGATGCCGCAAGGCAGGTATCAGCAGCTCAAAAAGATGGTCGTCTTCCTGGCCAACCAGAGCGAGGACTGTCTGTTCCTCAATCTGTACATACCCGGAAGTGGTAAGAATGTATTTGTCGGATCTATTTAATAGTATTAAATCATATTAAAAGCCATTAAGGGGATGCTGTACTGACCAAATTATCACACTACAGTCGTATAAAAATCTTCGAATTGACTGAACGGAATAAAAAATCTTTTTACACAACAGGATTAAAGTAGACGCAAAATTAAGTTAGAAGGTGGTGCAGTGGATTTTATATTAAAATCGAAAGAATGTTAAATAATTTTTTAACTTATTTCGATTTTAGTACAAGGTCCATTGCACCACTTCTTAATTTTGCTACTTTAATCCTATAAAAGGATTTTTTATTCCGTTCAGTCAATTCAAAGATTTTTATACGACTGTAATGTGATAATTTGGTCACTCCAGCATCCCCTTAAAAGCATATAGAAAAATTTAAGCAGTAAGTAGTGAAGAAATCAATGTTGAATTTGCTATTGTTTATGTTATGGCTTTATCTTCTCGACTATGATTGACTGATTTACTTATTGCTTATGTCTTTCTGCTTAAATCTTTCTGTGTACTGTGGCTCTAACCGTCAAACAAACCGGACAAGTTAAAGAAGCGTTATTGAAATTATTTTAGACATTATTATTGTGACTCTTCATTGCACATTGTGTGATCCACTTTCTCGTAATACTTCCGTTCATTAAGAATTAAATTATGACGTGGTGTCTTTTGAAGAAAGTTTCTTTTTTACGAAAGAAGGGCAAGGTCGTACGATAAATAACATTCTAAGAGGGGTTATGCAAAATTTCGTTTCTATTGTCGCTTAAAGTACCTCGGCAGTAACGTAAAGTTTCTCAGTTCTGACAGAATAAAAGGGATAATAAGTTTTAATGAACGTCTTTACTCTTCGGGAAGGTAGTAAAGCTACTCCACATTGAGTTAATGAAAGTTCAACTCTTGCTACCTGAATAAATAATGTATTTTTCACATCTTATTATTATTTATTCAAGCAGCATAGTTTACGAGCGTTGCAACTCGATTATCAATTCTCGATCGATCTTTATTTCAAGGGGATACGCACGTATATATCCGTTATAAATTCTTAAAATGTTCTGTTATAAAAAATTAATAACGTTTAATGGTTCAACGCGTTCATTCGTTGTGAGTATGAAGGGGCGCAAAAAAAAAAGACTCAAATTGATTTCACGCTTAAAATTATGTATCGACAGGAACGTCCAGGAGATGCAATCGACCGAGGTTAATTTTATACGATTAAAAAAAATTTATGTGGCGGAAAATAACATGTTACATTGGGACATTATAAAGTTTTGAGGCCGCGGCCATAATTCGGCTCCTGAAATTCTCAACTATATTATCTATCGGAGCCGACAATTTATGCGTCCGTATAGTATTACATGGCACAAGTTGCTTCCTAAAGTAATTAGTCCTAAAGTAATTAGTATACCTTTATGCCGGGTAGTATCAACCTGGGAGCAGCCGCATGCGTTACGTCGCACGTTACTCGGCGCGCGATGAAAGATAGAGGCGAATTTGCAACGTAAAGCGGCCGGTCTGCGCCGTAACCTCGGTCGGGCTACAAAGGGAAAAGGAAGAAGGATTGAAAATTGCGCGAGCTACGCGAATAACACGAGGTACGGATAGCAAGGCGCAGAGGAGAGTAAGAAGCTGTAAAAAAAAGACGATCAAAAAAGACTCTCAATCGAGTTTTCGTTACGGCGAAAGCGACTGTAAATCAATCAAATCCCAGAATCTTCGCTTTGTAAAGAACTCCAATTTTCGTGAACAATCTAACCGAGAGTTGCGCGTACTATTTCTCTTATATGACGCTTTTAGGTGATTTCAGGTTCAGATTTCAATTACGGATTTCGTGACGATTAGAGCTCAATTAACGGTCGATTTAAACGGCTGCTTAATATACGATCGCATCCGTAATCGACAAAGACAGTGCTTCGCAACGCTGCGTCGAGCAGTACTGCCAGATTGATCGATACTAATTGGGCTAGTTTTACGAGTTAACGGATAATCGAAGTAAGATCGCGGTGCGATTGAATTACTAACTACGATGATTGCGAGCTCACGTAACTTGGCAGCGCGCGAAAGCCACCTCCCGTGATAGTTTAGGATGATGTCTCCCCAGACAGGTAATCTGATGTACCTAGTATAAATCGTGTAATAGACAGACATTAATTAGTTGCGACGCGATGGATGGATAAATGCGTATTCCTGGTTTATTAGTTGCTGAGACGATTATCAATTAAATGGAAACTTTTAATCTCGAAACCCAGCTGATGGAGACGTGTACATGGAAGATCCGTAGGGGAAAGCGGGTGGCAGAAAGGGAAGGAAAGAGAGAGAAGGTTCGCTAAACCCAAAGTACTTACAAACACGAAAACCTCGGAACGTGCCCAGGTCTATAAAAAGCGTCGCGTAATCCTAAAGCCTTATTAAAACAAGCTTTTCGCTTTAATTTACCTTCGGTTCCGGCTTACGCGACGCTCTCGGCGTAAAATTTTACGTTCGTCGTAAAAGACGAGCGTTTAAAAAAAGGGGTATCCGTTTTATCGGGACGATTTTCCAAATCGTATCGTAGCGTTTACAACAGCCGCGCGAAGATGTGTTCCGAACAAATCCCTCTATCGCGTAAATCGCGATCGTGAGATACGCTTATTTGTGCGCGTGAAAAGTCGCCGCCGCAACTTTGCTGCGTAAATAAATTTGTGGCAGCGACGATCGATCGGCGCGCGAAGTTGTTCAAAGCGAAGCACATCCGTCGTTCTTTCCCTCCGTCTCTCTTGGTAAATGAACAGCTTTGACCCGCGCTGCGCGATTTTTCTCCCATGGTCGTTCTACGTGCAACGAATCGCGATACCATGGATGTGCTCGTTTCTGACGATTTCGCGAGACCGTGTAAAGACGTGACGAGCTCGTAGAGAATTTAGATCCTTAGCGCGGATTATGCGATGCAATTAGTCATCTTAATTGCGCAGGTGGCAAACGGCGAAAACGACTAATTGGCTGTAGGAATTTCATTTTACGTTTATAGGGAAACGGAACATTCGCGAGGGAAACTTGGAAGTAAATTTAGCCAGAGTGTAAACAATATCGCAAAACGAAGTTACGGACGCGTGCAGAAGAACGACACTCTTAAAACGATGAAAGCTCGCTAGGCGCAATCCGCTGCTTTACATTTGCGATTCGCTCACGGAAAAGAGGGATAAAACGGGTAAGCATAATGCTACGTAAGCGATAATGTCGTACAGTATTATGGGAAAGCTGGATCTGTCAATGGAAGGTTTATACGGATAAGAGGTTTATTCGTGAAAGAAAATGAAAGAGCGATGCGGACACTCATTTACCTGCTTGCTTTCAGGATCTCGAGGACTGGAGGCGCCGTATGCGGTGATGGTGTACGTACACGGCGAAAGTTTCGAATGGGGATCGGGTAACTTGTACGATGGATCGGTCTTGGCGAGCGCCGGCCACGTCATAGTGATCACCCTCAACTATCGTCTCGGCATCTTAGGTACGTGCTACCCTTTAATCAACTGTCCCGCAACCCCGAAAGCATTTTCATTAAGCGAACCTTCTGATGCAACATTCCACGGACAAAGAAATTCCAAATAACATCCATCTTGCATCAAGATACCTTAATTTGTATCTTGCAATTTGTGATATTTTTATTTGTTTATTTAGAACTTTTTTCACTTCTGAGAATTATTACTATATTTTATAATTTATAGAAAGAATCTTTGTACTGAATAATGTTTAGATAAATAATTAATCAATTTTTGATTGTAATTATCTTACTAGTAATATTGGAAAACATAAATATCTAAGTAAAGAAGCGCACCAAATATTGGAAAAAGTTGCACTATATTTCTGTAGAACGGAAAGAGCGTTTATTACGACTCCCACTATTCTGAAAGTAAGTTCGTATCATTAACTACTATACTCTCCGAAATAGAGAGATAGCTTCGTAGAACCATTTACATTCTTAAGTCAATATTGGCACTTTGAAGACCCACAAATGTATCTCTGTCGTAGTGCGCTGCGAATATACGAAAGTCCGAAAATGTCAATTCTATCTATTTACTTGTTAAACTTCCTTGGTTTATGACTTAATAGCGTAACGAATATTTATACGCTTCGTTTAATTATCGCAGTTATGAAACATTAAATCGAATCTTCACGCGCGCGCGCTTGTCGCTTTCTATATTTCAATTGAATTTTTTAAATGAAATTCTCCACTTGTCATAATCAGAAATCTTCATTTCTTAATTTGAAAACACATTATTAAAGATTAAAAAATCAAATTTAAACTAATTTCTTAAACAACTTGTTAAACAATATTTAATTATTTCTTAAACAATTTGTTAAATATCATTTAATTATTTTTAACTTCCAAGTGTTTCAAAATATATTATTTTAAAGCCCATCACACACAAGATGACATAAGCTGCATAAGCACAGCATAAGGCTGCTGGAGCAATGAACAGCTTATGTAAATGAATTTGGCGTCTTTATGTCTCATTGGTCCAATGGCCTCATACCATGCTTATGCAGCTTATGTCATGGTGTAACGGGTTTAATATGAAACATGTCGTTAAAAAAAACTACATCACGTCAACTTATTTCTGTCAAATTGCATACTTTTAAAATAAACAGTATTTAGATTAACGTATGTACTTAGTAAATAGTAAACTAAATTTGAATTAAATTAATACATTTCTTGAGTTAATTTGTCTAAAAGAATGGATTTAATTGTTTAACTCCATTGTTTCAGCTGAATTAACGACAAATTGAGTAGAAGTAATAGCGTAAGTAATAGCTATAAAAATGATTTAAAATAACTCAAATTAGGTATAATTTGATCATGAATTTAAGTCGTTTTCATGGCGAAATTTGCGGGAAAAATTTTATCGAACGAACGCTATCGTATCGCAAATGTTGCGTGGCGACAGGTAAAAAAAAGAGAGAAGTACAATAAAAGAAGGATATCGTGTAATCCGCGGGAATGGTTAAATTGCGAACGATTTGGCGTCCTTCCAGGATTCTTGAGGACTCGTCCGTTCCCTGACCGAACGAGCGGTTCCGGCGGGAATTTGGCTTTAAAGGACATCACGATGGGACTCCGTTGGGTGCGTGAAAACATCGGCGCTTTCGGCGGCGATCCAACACGGATAACTCTAATGGGCCACGATACCGGAGCGGCGCTGGTGAATTTGCTATTGCTCGCTCCTTACAGTAAAGGTAAGAGAGGAATCCCTAGCGCAATTAGCAATTAATCCTTCGAACTCCGTCTGAACACCGCGCACGAAACGTTGAATTCCGCAGAATCCTGTTTTAACGGAACGTTCTTACGATTTAAACGTCTTCCTAGTAATTAGAGAGAGAAGACACGGAAGAAACTTATGTTTGTAAACGATTTGCGTATCTAGACCACAGTTGCCACCTCTCGACTAGTATTCCATTGGAGATCAATGGCTGTTCTAGAGATTCTATTATCTTACCGAAGATTGATTGCCACTATCAAAATTGTTACTGTTTTATAGTGCGTTCTCTAAAAAAAAAAACTTTTTTCGAAATCGAAGGGAAACTGATGTACACACCTAAAAGAAGATTATCAAAATTTTAAGCGGTCGCAGATTTTTTTTATCAGCTGAAGAGCCGGAGGTTCTATAGAGCCAGAGTTTCTAAACATTTGAATAAGAGCATCGTATGCCTTCCGTTTCATTTAATTTTGACCTACCGATACATACACTTTGCAAAGATATATATCATCGCTATTCCATTTCACCATCAAATCCCCGTTGACAGCTTAATGCTGTCATTGCGCCATCAGAATTAACAGTTCATCGGTCGCTCCAAGCGATGAACTATTGCGATATAAAATAAATCGATCAGCGTGATATAAACACCGGGTGTTAAGAGCGGCGGAAATATTTGCTTGTCGAGTAACTTGATCCAACATTTACGCCGCTAACGTATTAATAACGTTGTTGTTTATGACAAGAAAACACAATGAAAAATGATATCGTTTCGCTCAGCGTAAAATACATACGTGAAATTCGAACGAGAGGTTGAGCGATTGAAGGTTCGATCAATTCACCTATCGGCGGTGATTTCGCCGAAAACCCTTTGCCTGGCGAAATAACCGGCAGGTTAGAAACGAGGAGACGCTATTTGCAGAACCTTCGGTAGATTAATCGTCCAGGGATTAGTTGGCGAGGGTCTCATGGAGGAGACAACCGAAGGGTTGGTCCGTCCTCTCAAAAAAACATCACCAAGCTCGGGGTGACAAATTACAGGACTCCATTTTATTCGATAAGAGGAGAAAGCGAGATGAGACTTTTCCTTTTTTTTTCTCTCCTTTTCCCTTTTTTATCGTCGTTGGACAACACCAGCCAAAATTGAACGATCCTCCCAGTTTTTGTCCCTTCAGGTGATCGCGGGATTCTCTGCGGTAGCTACTCGGACGGGGGACGTGAGGAAATTGCGCAATAATAAAAATGCATGGCCCCTCGGAACGCGCGTGGAACAAAAGCAAGGACGCTAAAAGCGTCGTAAATACATCGCCGTGCGATAAATCTACGCGAACGCGATTACGGCATGATATAGTTGGACGCTAATTCCGCGCCAATCAGGCAAATTATGACTAACGCTGCGACCGTTTCGCTACCCATACGCTTCGCATAATCGATGGTCTAGATTCATTCGATTTGGCACGCTTAAATGTTCCATAGCCGCAATAATTTCGAAATAGCACAATTTTCTAAAATTATCTATGTCAACCTTAATTATACACTGAAAAAAAGATTGGCTGCTGCAGCAAATTAGATGATAAAATATGGCATAGTATTTTTAATTGGCTGCAGCAGCCAATGCAGCCAATTTTTGATTGCGTTAGCCTATCTGCAATGTCAGTATAGGATTTCGATAGACTAACACAACCAAAAATTGATTGCTGCAACCAATTAAAAATGCTATGCCATATTTTACCATCTAATTTGCTGCAGCAGCCAATCTTTTTTTTCAGTGTATATAATATATGTATATATAAGTGAGATAGCAGTATCTCAAATATAATAATGTTCTTTATAAAGAACATTATTATCATTGTCACATACACACACACACATATCAAAGAAGCACAAAATGGTAACTCAATCCCTTAGTTAAATAACAATTTGATATTTTTAACTTCATATGTATGAATCAAAATATACCTAACGTATCCATTTCGATGGTCAGTTTCAAAGTTAACAATGTCCATATTAACGTTTGCACTTAGCACATAACATTATGCACTTAGTACATAATAAATTTGAATCAAATTTGTTTAACTCCAACGTTTTAGTTAGATTAACGTTATATTAAGCTGCAGTTATAGAAGCAGTGGCGACTTATATAAATGATGATTAAAAATAATTCAAATTGTGGGTATAATTTGATATTATAAATTTAATAGTGTTGGAAAAGAAAAATGAAAAGTAATTGTCCAGATGAAGTCTTAAAGTTCATTATTTTTATTATATTTCTCTACCTCATAAGAGTATAACTAATGTAAATTTAACCCTTAAACACCCTACGAAAATATAATAACATACTTGAGTATAGCATATCCAATTTGGTTGTTTGTAATTTTTATAAAAATGGACATATTGTAAACAGTCAAAATGCGAAACTTGCGTATCTTTAAACTATCTGCTTATTTAAAAGTTAATGTATAATTTATTTAAAACTATTAATCTTGCATTTTTATTACAAAATAACCGTTTTATTTAGACAAAATTAAATAAATCGTGATTATATATTAGTTAAAAATTTCAATGGGATAGTTAAACGAAAAGCAGCATCGTTCCCTTTGCGAGAAGTCCCTCAATTTCGAAGTTGTCACCATTGATAGGGAAAAGCCGAAAGTGTATTCGCTCAGACAGACGGAACGGACGCTAAGAAGGAACGCGAAGGATAAGCGGTATGGGGAATAGGTCGTTCTCGCTGTGGTGATCGGCCGGAACCACTCTCCCGTCTGGCCATTTCCCGGACCTCCGGTTGTGCCGGAAACAGCGCAAACAGTTTACATCTCGAGAAGGGAGCATCGCTCTCGGTTGTGCATTCCTTCCGCGCGCCATCCTTCCTCTTGAGGCTCGACTCCGATCTTAGAATGAATGAGCGAGAGAAAGAGAGAGAAAGAGGTAGATGGGAGGACGGACCCTCGGGGAAACCGCTTTTCTTTAGCATCCTGAATGCCGTCGAGGTCAGTCGGTTTTTCCGACCTTACCGCACTTTCCGCTCCTTCGATTCCGACGTCGGCGCCGCCGGCGGTTTCCGCGAGACCCAGGTGCGGTTCTATACTTCTTACTACACTGCTGGTCAGAGATTGCGGGGAGGATGCTCTTCTTTCGAAGAAGAAATTGCGCCGCGGAAGTTACGAGCGAAGCGGTAACGAAGATGCATCGATTTTTAATCCGTGCTGAAAGAAACGTCTTTAATTTTTTTTTCATGTAATTTTCTTTCCACTCGAGTACTTTAGAAATGTTTGAGGCTTTCGAAAACCACGGAATTTTGAGATGGTTCGTTGATCGTGTGAGGGGTTTGGTACCGTGGAGAGATCTACTCTCTCACTTTACTTCCGACAAACGACATTAGCTTCTCTGGCAGACGAATGCATCGTCTGCAGTTGCTTAATATTGCAACGGGATGCGGCCCAAGCGGTTGCGCTCGGTCGGTCTAGGACTTATAGTTATGCAAAATTAATGAGAGACTGAGTGGAATAAATGGAGGAAGTGTCGATGAGAGTTGCCGCTTGACCGCGACGCTGCAAAAATATTAATAGACCCTTACATATCGTGACACATAGTTACGAGGAAACTCGCAGGAATTTTTTTAGGAATGCGCTATTCGTTGTTAGTTATATTCGACGGTAAAAGTGTAGCGTATCGTAACAAGAGTTCTGGATTAAGTTGCACCGAAACTAGTGTAAAATCGATTCGGGTGTTACGTTGATTCCCAATGATTTTTCGCGGTATCCACACGCGGCGTTCCCATGCAATCCGCTTTTTGCCGATGCATTTTGTTGTACTCGATACGATTACGCGGGGAACGGCTAATGGCTTTGCCCGGCGTTGCGTAAAAAGTTGCAAAACGATCGGTTTGGGTTTCCCGTCGATAACTAGCCTTCGAAGGTACGATTGCTTTCCCGCCGTTAGCTGCTGTCTGCCTTCGGCGGATTTCGATGTCCGATGATAAATGAAGACCGTGCTCTACCAACCGGGTACCACCGAAGACATAAACGTTTCGTATTACATCGATCTCTCGTGTAATTCAGAAAGTCACTTCTTCTAGCCTTCCCAGGGGTGTTTGGGGTGCGGTTTCCCCGCCTCCCTTTCTCAATCCCGAGAAGACTGTCGACGTTACGTATCATCGCCCGGGAAGAGACAAGAGAAATAAGCTTCTCATGGCGCGGAGAGACAGTCTCGATTTATCGTTTCCCCCCCGTTGTAATTTTTTATGAGCGAAAACCCGAGCGTGTGCAACACGCCTTGAAACGTCTTCTCTCTTACGCGTGTATCATGTTTGCGCGTACGTGTGTGTACGTGGATTCTTCAATTCTTGGAAGGTAACATCGTCTCTTCTAGAGTTGCTTCTCTCTACCTCGCGTCTGTTCCTCTGGCAGTTTCACGGCCCTCACGAACCAGAGATACGAGCGATTGGCTTCGTGAGTAATCAAGAAGGCAACCGAGTGTGATTCCTGGCAATTGTCTGATTCGCTGCACCCTGAGACGTATAAGACCCCCGGTTATCATGGCAACTCGAGCGTCTCTAGCGTTTCGGATTATATTTGTGCAAATGCGAAAAAAAGAAAGAGAGGGTAGAAGGATTTCATTCTCTGAAAATATCTCACATAAAAACGGATCACTCAAGCTTGGTGGATCAACAGACTTTCTATAAAGAAAAATGTAGTAAGTTATTATAATTCTGTAAATCCTTCATACACACAATTTAATTCTTTATCTTGTTATTAAATGTACACATTCGTGTTTCAAAAAATAATTACGAAATTTGTTATTAAAATTTATTATGATTAGAAATGTATAGTGGGTTTCTCTCGTGTCCCGAGGGAATGGTATACGGCGAGAAAAGCCAAGCGCTATGCAATACCACGCATAACAATAAGTCATAAAAATAGCTTCCAAACAGCGTTTCTACCTTCGCGTCTTCCGTTTCGCGCGGCACACTCCCTTCGTTCT